CAGATGTTTTGGAATTTATACAACAGGAATTCCCATCTCAAAACATCACAGTGGAGGAGTTTAAATTTCCATATGTTCGTATGATATCTTCATTTAAAATATCTGCTCCTCCGGAAGTATTTAATGTACTAAATTCTAAAAGTTTTTGGCTTACTGATGAATTGGTCATTAAAGAATTTGTTCCAAACAGACGGAGAACTAATAATAGGCCTTCCACGACTGTACCTGCGCCAAAAAACTGAGCAGTTTATTTTTGGCCTATCAAAATGTTAGGGGACTCAATATGAAACTACCTAAGCTTTATGCTGACTCCTCTGCCTTTTCTGAAGACATTCTGGCCTTTACTGAGACTTGGCTGAAACCGGAGATATCAGACTCCGAAGTTCTGTCCAAAAATATTAATACGTATAGAACTGATCGCTCTCCTCGTAGAGGGGGGTGGGGCGCTGGTTGCCGTTACCTCTACTTTATCATCGGAGAGAATATACTTTCTTAATCCCAATGACATAGAATTCGTTGTTGTTAAAGTTTCTTTGAAATCTTTTTCTATTTATGTAACTTGTTCCTATATTCCACCTGGATCCGACTTAACAATTTATGAGCAACATTTGTCTGCAACAAAAACTGTTTTATCTCATCTTTCCGAAAGGGATCTTTTAATTGTTTTGGGTGATTTCAATCTCCCTGACATTTCTTGGTCCCTTTCCACGGACTCACTTGTCTCTACCCCTTTATCTGACCATGACTTCGTTGACGGTCTGTTAGAATTATCATTACAGCAAGTTGGCTTTATACGTAATTCACTAAACAGACAATTAGATCTAGTATTTGTTTTAGATCCGTCTGAAGTCACTGTATCTAGAATTGACCCACTAGTTGTGCCTGAAGACCAGTATCATCCCACATTAGAACTTACAATTTGTCTTCCCAGCGTTGATACCCTCTCTCCTTCACTTTCTCCAAATAAATGTAGATGCTTTCGTAAATGTGACTTTAGTAAACTCAACAACTTGATTTCACAATATAACTGGACAAATTTATATAATTGCTTGGATATTGAAAGTGCTACGGAACTATTTTATAGTGTCCTAAACTCTTTTTTCAGTGAATGTGTTCCTGACAGTTTTCCTCCTAAGTTAGACAGGCCACCTTGGTTTACCAATCAGTTGCAAAGACTTAGAAACCTAAAAACAAACTTCTATAAAAACTACAAAAAGTCGGGTAGGCCATCCGATTTTTCAAGATATGTGGTGGCTCGTACTAATTTTAATGTACTTAACAGTCCAGTGCTATTCCATGTATTTGAACCGATGTAAATTTGAATTTTCAAAGGATCCGAGGCAATTTTATAACATTGTCAATGCTAAGCGAAAGTCTTCAGCATTGCCATCATCCGTACGATTAAACTCTATTGAGGCATCTACGGATCCCGAAATTGCAGATTTATTTGCTGAATTCTTCCAATCTACTTATAGTTCTGTTTCATGGTCTAATTCTAGCTACCCTAATCACTTAAACAGGGAAAATTGTATTTTTTCTCCTGTAATCACCGAGAGTTCTCTCTTAAGGGATTTAGAAACTATAACGCCAACCTATTCTCCTGGGCCAGATGGACTCCCTGGGTGTGTTCTTAAGTTTTGTGCCCGAACTATTTGTAAACCCATTCTGAAACTTTTTAATTTGTCTATCTCATCATCTATTTTTCCTACTATCTGGAAAGATTCTTTTAATATTCCACTCCACAAAAAGGGTGCGAAGGTTAATGCTCAGAACTATAGAGGAATCTCCAAATTGTCTGCAATTCCTAAAACATTTGAACGCATTATTACCTCTCAGTTGCAACATTTGTGCTCCTCTTTAATATCGCCGTGTCAACATGGTTTTGTTAAGCGTAGATCGACCACCACTAACCTGCTCGAATTGACATCTTTTGTACTAGATGGATTTATTAAAAATTACAGACGGACGTTATATATACAGATTTTAGTAAAGCCTTTGACTCTGTTAACCACTCTCTTCTTTTATTCAAATTAGATCTGCTTGGGTTTCCGAATAATCTGTTAACTTGGATTTCAAGTTATTTGAATGGTAGATCTCAGAGGGTTGTATTCAAAAACGCTGTTTCCAAGATGATCAACGTGACATCTGGAGTGCCTCAGGGCAGTCATTTAGGCCCTTTGCTGTTTACTCTGTTTATAAATGATCTTCCTTCTATCGTAAATCACTCTCGTGTACTAATGTATGCTGATGATGTTAAGCTTTGTTTTTCATATAATAATATTGAATCTGGTTTCTGCTTGCAGTCAGACATAAATAGATTCCAGGAATGGTGTCAGTACAACCTTTTGAATTTAAACTATCTTAAATGCAACGTTATGACTTTTTATAGGGGTACCCCAACGTTCATGAGTTACTCTCTTCAGAACATGTCCTTGGACCGAATATACTCAGTAAACGATTTAGGTGTTCTCCTAGATCCTAAACTTAAATTTGACTCCCACATAACCTCTACTGTAAATAAAGCTATGAGTGTTCTTGGGTTTATAAAGCGTTGGTCTAAAGAATTTGATGATCCATACACTACCAAATTATTATTTACCTCAGTTGTCCGACCTAATTTAGAATACTGTTCTTTTGTTTGGAGTCCTCAGTATCAAGTGCACATTGACCGTATAGAGTCCGTACAGAAACAATTTCTTCTTTTTGCCTTACGTGGTTTGAACTGGGATCAAAACGTCAGGTTGCCTTCTTACTCGAGTAGATTGCTATTAATTAATTTGCCTACTCTAAGTAAGCCGTAGAATTATGCTTGGTACTATTTTTATGAATAATCTTATCAGAGGCGATATTGATTCTGTAGATTTGGTAAGCCGCCTAAGTTTCAATGTTCCTGTTAGACTAATGCGAAACTACCATCCTATTAACTTGCCACGATGTTCATTTAATTTTAGTCAGCATGAGCCCTTTCGCGTTCTTTCTAATAATTATAGCAACCTGTATCATTTAATTTGTTCCTCAACTTCAATCCCTGTACTAAAAACTAAAATCTTAGCTCATTTGCTTTAATCTTGTTGATCTATGTTTTGTCCTGTCTCTATTTGTTCTATGTACCTTCCTCGCGAACCGTATTTGCCCGAAATAAAAATGGGCCCGCGCGTAACAAGCACGTGCTTGGTGTCGTTTGGGACACTTGTTTGTACTGTTCTTAGTGCATCAACGTTCAACAATATATAAGAAGGCGTTTAGGGAGCGCATAATAATAAGGTGGTCATAACGGACAATGGAGTACAGTTTGCAAGCCGAATTTTTAAAAACTTCCTGGCTAAGATGGGTATTAGTCAACAATTCACCGCGCCATACACACCACAAGAGAATCCGACCGAACGAGCAAACAGAACGGTCAAGACCATGATTGCGCAGTTCGCAGGGCAGGACCAGAGAAACTGGGACGAGAAGTGGCCGGAGATTATGCTAGCAGTAAACACGAGCACATCGGAATCCACCGGCCATACACCGGCGTTTCTTACCCAGGGAAGGGAACCACGTCTACCCAGCAGCCTATATGATAAGGAAACCCTAGGCACTGGACGAGCTACGGAGACCCCTGAGGAAAATGCCAACAAACTAAGAGAGGTATTCGAGATCGTGCGGCGAAATATGGAAAAGGCGTCCCAGGACCAAGCCAGACACTACAATCTGAGAAGAAGGCAATGGTCACCAGCGGTGGGAGACATAGTGTGGGCCAAGGAACATCACCTGTGCAAAGCGGCCGAAGGATTCGCTGCAAAACTAGCCCCGAGGTACGACGGCCCTTACCAGGTTGTAAATTTCGTCTCTCCAGTGATCTGCAAAATTCGCCACACACAGTCGAAGAAAGAAAAGACAGTTCACGTTGGCGAGCTCAAGCAACAAAACGAGCAGACAGCAGAAACGTCAGATGTTAAGCAACAGGTACAAGGCGACAGGATTAGGCGTCAGACCGAAGCGAGAGTCATCCAAAAGCCACGCAGAAAGATCAACCATAAATATAGGTCACAAGGATACGGCCAACGTGTAGGGATCGAACCACAAGGCAGCAGGATTCAGCGTCGGGCAGTTGCCAGAGTCATCCGCGATTACGCCAGGCGGAAGGGACACTTACAAAACAGCACAAGGATACGGGTAACATATAGGGATCCAACCGCAAGGCAGCAGGATTCAGCGTCGGGCAGTTGCCAGAGTCATCCGCGATTACGCCAGGCGGAAGGGACACTTACAAAACATTACAAGGATACGGGTAACATGTAGGGATCCACCCGCAAGGCAACAGGATTCAGCGTCAGGCAGTTGCCAGAGTCATCCACGATAACGCCAGGCGGAAGGGACACTTACAAAACGGCACAAGGATACGATTAACGTATAGGGATCCACCCGCAAGGCAACAGGATTCAGAGTCGGTCATTTGCCAGAGTCATTCGTGGCTAGCCCAGGCGGGAAGGACACGGACAAGGTCAACAACAACACTAGCAAAAGCACACCACTTCAACAAGGATACCCCAACAATACCTTAAATGTGCCCAAAGGACACCCGAAGGATACTCGAAGGACACCCCAACAATACCTCAAAGGACACCCGAAGGACTCCCCAACAATACCCCTAAGGATACCCAAAGGACACCCGAAGGATACCCTAGGGATAACCCAATAATGCCCCAAGGATACCCCAAGGATACCACCCAGGAACGCCCCGAAGCAAGGTGTATGCCCAAGGACAACTTCCAAGGATACTCACCAAGGGTGATCAAGGTAGGGTCTCAAGCAAATTGGTTACGGAACCGGGAGGTACAACGAACCGCAGCATCCAGAGTGCCACGGTGATCTGAGGGAGTACAACTTGTGGTTTACGAAGAAAGGGGGAAGACGGCACAGCAAAGAGAGCTGTACCGTAAGAGAGCGAGCGCCCCAAAGAAAGGACATAACGGGATCGGGCAAAAGGAAGGCTCGCAACCGAGGTTTCATGTATGGGGAGCCTGGCGACGGTCGAGCATTACGATTCGAAAAACCAAGATGAGCACACGTGTCACCAGATCCAAAGCGCGCAGGAGGATGGCGGCTCTACAGGAACCTCGCCCGGGGCAAGGATAGTCGGAGACCCGGCCTACCCGAGCTCCGCGGCGGGCCCTGGAGCGGACCCGCGACGAGGACTCCGCACCAGAACCCGTGGTGAGCTCCGACAGCGACGTGGAGGTGGTCGGCGATCCCGCCGTCGAAGAAAGAGAGTGGCGGCTCCGGAAAGCGGCGGCGGGCGATCGGATACCGCGCGGGACGACGGACGTCGGAGGAGAGGAACTCCCGAGGGGCCACGCCGAGGATGTTTGTCGGGCCACCGAGGAGACTCGGAAACGGTTCCGGGACCGGGAACCGGCGGACGAGGAGCAGCAGCGGTCGACGGAGGAGGAGGCGTGATGGCAGATCCGGCTGCGGCAGGACCACGGGGCGGCGGCGGCGCGATGGCATGCCCGTCTACGAGAGGCGGAGGAAGAGGAGCGACGTCTGTGGGAGGCACCGGTAGAGGACGCGTGGGAAGTTCCACTCACCTCCAGGTACGCGGCCGAGGAGCCCAGTCCGAGGAGCGAGGATGGGGACGAGCCATGCGCGCTATCCCCTCCGCGGTGGTTGCCGGAGGTGCCACCCACTCCCCGCTACGAGGGGGAGTGGCTCACGGAGGAAGCCCGAGACAGCGACGGAGGATACCCGTTGGCCACGCCGCCGTGGAGGCCGGCGCGGCCACCCACGCCTCGAAACCCCGAGCCACAGCGACCGAAGGAGCCAACGCGAACGGAGGAATCGACCGCGCAGCCGATGCCACAACCGCAGGAGGAGGCAGTCCACCAGGCACAGGCGGAGGAGCCGTCGGTGGTGCGGACGGAGGTGCCGGCCGCGCACGTTAGCCACAGCACGCGGGCGTTCGTAGCCGAGGGCGTGCGATGGCGACAGCAGACGCTGGTATGGACATGGCCCGAGGGTATCGACGAAGGAGGAGCCCAGGATATGGGAGGAGGGGGTACCCAAGGTGAATCCTCGGGATCCCCGGACGAGAGGCCGGCAGGATGCGTGGGTCCCGCCAACACCGAGCACGGGCCCGCCAACACCGGCGACGACGGCAACGTCGGGGGAGGTGGAATCGCTGGAGAAGGGACCTTGGGTGTGGCCCGAGCCACCGGCAACCCAAAGACCTCCGTTGCAGCGCCAAACTACGACGCCCGGATCGACGCGCCCGCGGCCGCAGTTCATGCGGCAGGTATCGGCGCCGGAGGGATGCGGTTGGCGCGAGATCGCCAGGAGCGAGAGGCCGGAGGGAATAGAGGAGGCACCCGCGGTCGCGACGGCACGGCGGAAGGGCGGCAGGCGTTGCGTTCTGGTCAGCGAAGGCGGACGACGGTACCGGGTGAGTCGCGGGCACCCGGGTGTTCGCGCAGTAAAAATAAACGAGAAAAAAAAAAAAAAAAACACAATGGTTTCCCAAATAGCAAGAGAAGGGGGCACGGGGCCAAGAGTTTGATTGGGGATGTGGCTGGAAGAGAACGGGGCATGCATGGGACACTCCAGCAACCTGAAGGTCAAAGGGTCTTAATACAGGAAGCAGAGACGAACATCAAATACTTACCTGCTGTCCCGGTTGCAAAGTGAATGCGAAGTCCTCTCCGCACCAGCTCTCGAGGGCTGCCAATATGGAGTCCGATGCAGCCGACAGAGGACGAGTGAAGGGCGAGAGAGAACGAAAGGAGAGAAAAGAATAAGATGAAAAGGAGTAAAGGAAATGCAGAAAACTTACCTATGAAAATTGCAAAATCACCACGAGCCAGGGAAGGGGGCGCCTCGATAGGCGATCGATTGGCACTGGACGATAGTGCGATCGATGGGCACACGACAATGCAAATATCGGCCAAGGTGGAAATGTCGCAACGAGCAGGTGGCAACGCCGCACCGTCGGTATCGATATGCGAATAAACATCGATCACGCACGAATAGTGTGACCAGGCGGAGGAACCAATAAAAGGAGCAGAACGCAGCAATGAGCAGCGAGCTGGGGATCGATAGCCCACAAGTATCGATGTCCCAGTGGGGTCGCGGAGAATATCGGCGCGGGAGATTCAAGTTGCTACGAGGAGGATAATCAGCGCTGTGGAAACTAAACAGAGTTAAGAACGTCGAGGGAGCGCCGCGGGAATCACAAGGACTCGAAGGCTAGGACATGCAAGGAAACCCCGGAGAGTAGAAAAAAGTTCTAAATGTTTCCCGAAGTAAGGGGGGAATGTGAGGAGTTGAATAACTCCCCACAAATAGAAGCAGCAGCAGATGGCCGGCCGCTTACCAGTTACGCGGTGAATTCGCGTAGTAACGGCGCGGCGAGGAGAGTTTGGAAACTTGGATGGAGAACGAGAGAGTTTGGAGACCAAGGATGGAGAGCGAGAGAGTTTGGAGACCAAGGATGGAGATCGAGAGAGTTTGGAGACCAAGGACGGAGAGCGAGAGAGTTTGGAGACCAAGCATGGAGAACGAAAGAGAATGGAGACTTCGCGGGCAAACAGGATAACGGAACTTTGGACTCTCCCGTGAACTTTGGACCGGGAGAGGAAGTGCCACATCTCGGCAGTGGAGCGGCACACAGGCGTGCCACAAGCATCAGGGGAAACAGCGGGACTGCAGCAGTGGGCGGAGCATCTATTGGAAGCGGTACGTGAAGGACAAGTGGGTCATCCAGGAGGCACGGACTTTGGACCCAGAGTGGAGAGATCCAGCGGGCCGTGCGCGAAAGGGAAATAACGGTTCCCGGAGGCCCTATATAAGGCCGCAGAGCGCTGGCAGCTGGATCAGTCGGTCACGAGGAGTCAAACCTTCAAGATCAGTTAAAGTACCAAATAAACAGTCAAGCAAATAATCTACGAGGGAGCTACAACCAAGCGAGTCGTCGGAAGCAGCGCCGTGGGAAGCATACAAGGAGCAAGATCGCCACGTCGAGACGTTCGGGATTAGGACATCAGGAATCTCCGAATTGAGACACAGGTGGCTGAGTTCTGGAAGGCATCACGCGGCTAAGTCAAGGCGTTAGTTTTCTAACTTTGTCACGACCACACCCTGGCGAGTCGCCCGGCGGGTCTGTCAGAGACAAGCAAAAGAGTCCTACGACGAAGAACCGTCAGCTTGGGGAGGAAAGTTGTCTGCGACCCAGTGTACCTTGCCCGACCAAGCAGGACCTGGCGTGACAGACGAACGGTAGATCGATTTGTGCTTTCAAGAGGCGGCCGCCTGGAGAGCCCTGCGATTACCGGCGAAGTTCCCGAACAGCGATAGCCTACTGAGCAAGAACCTAGCGGGACCGTCCGGGACAAAGCAAGGGACAGGTATTGCCTCGAAAGGCGTCGGCCTGGAGAGCAAGGCTTGTTCACCCTAGTCTAAGAACGGTGACGCTTCCCTAAGCCCACAAGGCCGAACTCTCTGCGGGTCTAAGGCGCAACAAGCGACCCCGAGGCAGCGCGTCGGCAAGCAAGCAGAGGCGGCCACTACGAGGGTCCCGAGACCCAGGATCCAGAGGAAGACGAGTCAACGCGTCGAGGAGCCAGAAAGAGGAGCGCCAGCAGCAGGCGGAACCAAAGCCAGGGGATACCGAAGCCAGCCCAGCCACACACCCGCTGTACTAATACCACGAGAATAAATCCCACTGTTACCATTTGAACCCCTTTGTTTTCTCACTGATCTACGGGCAATCACGTCATATAAATTTGGTGGGACGAACACACAATCTTCTGAGCTAGCCGCACGAATCTCGTAGCGAGCAGACACGCAAAATCAGTTCGTTACAGTATCCACAGTTCCTGAAGAACCATTTTCGCCATGATGATTATCGGTGACAAAAGGCCAAGGGGGTCAAAGAGTGATGATGCGATGGATAAGACGGATCTCTTTGTAGCTTGCAGGGTTGGTGGTTTTGAAGCAAAGGTGAACAGAAAGCTCTTCTAACATTGTCCTCACAGATGTTGAGTCTCTTCGTGGGCTTGCAATCAGTAAACTCAGGGTGGTTTGAGTGCCACTTGGTCAGCGAAAAGTTTCCCTTTTGAAGAACTTCTTGTTTGATGAGTTGCAAGGTGTGTATGTTGTCTGCTCCGCAAAGCAGGTCGTCCACGTAAAACCATGATTTGATAACCGATGCGACGGTCGGGAATCCCTTCTTGTACTTGTTAGCCAAATAGTGTAAACTGCGCACTGCTAGATACGGTGCGGCGGCGGTTCCGTATGTGGTGGTATTCAGCTGAATCGTCTGCAGCTCTGCATCTGGGGAATCTCGCCAAAATATGTATTTATATGTGATCGACTTGCCTGTTCCTGGGACCCACAAGCAGTAGGTCATTAAGCAACAGTTGCGAAGTTGTTGTGCACAAGGCATCGAAAACTACTCGCAATTTGGTAGACGTGCTTGATAGCTGTGGTGGAGTATACAGTCATGCGACTCGTGAAGGGCTGGATTGGTCACCAATGATCGCCTGAGCGCCTTATATTCCTGCATAAATGGGACATATTGGGATCTCAACTTAGGGAATTTCAGCATGCGGCGTTCCATTGAATAGAATCGTTGACGAGCCACTTCAGCGTTTCAAGACGAGAGGAATCATCCTTAAAGGGAAGGTTGACTACAATGCGACCATGGGAATCCAGAACTGTAGTGCTTGTTTAGAGCGCCTCACAGAGATGTCAATCTCAGAGTCTGGCTGATACGAGATGTGGCCGATGACACAGAACAGTGAGAAGTGACAATCTGTGATACGCGATTAGATGGTTGTAACGAGTCTCCAACGCTGCGGATTCCCATGTTGAATTTTTCATGACGAAGACGAAGTTTTTGGGCGAACTCCTCGTTGATGAGATTCACCTGAGAACATGCATCAAGCAATGCTCTGCCAGGCCTGCATGTTCCTGATGCGTCTTTGTCCAGAAGCACGGCCGTGGCTTGGATAACTTGTTCCGGTTGAGCGTGCAGATGAGAGAATGTTATCGGATCACTTGGCTGTACTGGACAGTCTGCTTGGCTGTCAGGACGCGCTTCTATGGCCGGAATGTCCTTGTCATGATGCAACATAGTGGATGAGCTTAATTGCAGCCGCGGCAACGACTCCTTGATGAGCACTGAGCGATTCGATGACCACTGCCGAGACAATTAAGGCGTAATTTAAGTTTTTAGCTGTTTCAAACCGATCAGGTGTTGACATCGATTTGAATGTTGGGCATCCAAACAGATTGTGGCCAGCTGACGAGCTTAGCGCATTATGCCCATACGATAGATTTTGAGATGGCTTGCTTGGATGGACTGGTCCCTTTAAGCTGTACAGCAAATAGTTGAACTTTTCTAGATTGGACATGCTTACCTCACGAGCGATAGTTTCTGTAAACGAGTTGATGAGATTTTTGTACTCTGCAAGCTAACCGTCGAACGTTGGCAAGGTAAGATGGGGCAACTTTGACGTCGACACAGCAGTCGAACTGGATTGGGCCAACGAAAACGGTGAGTGTGGTAGTCTTGTGCTGTTGAGTTCCTTCCCTAGCTGATCCTTGATGGCGACTTTGGTCTCGACATAACTGTCCTCAAATTCTCCGCGACCACTGTCTTTGTGATCCAACGTCTCAATCTCAGATTGGACTGCCATTGCTTCGGCGCCGGAAAGTCCGGTGTCTTCGCCAGTGCTTGTTGTTACAAGGGTTTTATTGCAAGCTATATTCCTTTTAATGTTGGTCCGTTGGCGTTTACATTGCTCAATAGTTGACATCGTATATATTACTTAAAGCAATGATAAACGGCGATCAATTTGCGAAGTGCGGCGAGCAGCGATCCTGGTGCGAAATGTGTGCGAGTGCGATCAATGTAGAAGCCAACTGAAGTTTCAGCAGCGACGAGAGCGAGAGCGAGCTGAAGATTGAACAGCGGCGACGAAAGGCGAGCAGCAAAACTGAAGTTTCGGCAGCAACGAGCGCGAGCTGAAAATTGGCAACAGCGGCAACGAAAGGCGCGCAGCAAAATTGAACTGCGAGCAGCAAAAGAATGGGCTAACTGTAATTCAGTAGCGCCGATGAGTCGGATGCTCTTGTGAAGAGCTTTGCGATGCGACGAGAGTAGAGCTGACTGCGTTCACAGCCTCAGCGTGTCGACGAAACGAAGAAATGAGAGAATGAGCGTCTACAGTGGCCGTAAATTTTCACGACGATAAATTAGGAATTGTTCAATTGTTTATAACTCTAAAATTTGCAGACACTGCCCCGCGCTTGGGCGCCATTTAAATCAGAGTACCGGGGTGCAGAAAATTGTAAGTATAATCTGATCAAGCAACACAAACTCAAGGCCAAGACAACTTTTCTCTTTCAAAAATTATATGCTACTGCCTTTATTTCCGAACGCTC